TTAAGAATGTATATTTTAACATTAATGTGGTTTATGACTGAAAATTGCCAAGTGAAGGCAGACATGGTGGCTCCATTTTAGTAATGTTGTCATTCAAGAGGTTGAAGCAGGAGGATCATGAGTTCAAGAGCAGCCTAGGCTGCAAAGAAATTTCTTGTTAAAAAAATAAACAAGAATAAAATTGCTATAAACACATTTCAAGCCACAATAATGTTTAAAGAATGAATATGGCAAGCATTATGAACATCATTTGGACAAACTGGCAGCGTACAGTAGGAAAAGATTCTTACCAAATATGCATACAATAGAGGGTTAATATCCAAAATTTATACAGAACTCAAGAAACTATATATCAAGATGGCAAGTAACTCAAATAAAGAATAGAGAGGACCTAAAACCCTGGCTCAGATGTAGCCCATAGACTCAGTCTCCAAGTGGGATCCCTAGTAAGGGGAGCAGGGGCTTTCTGTGGCATGAACTCAGTGGCAGGCTCTCTGATCACCTCCCCCTGGGGGGTGCAGCCTTGCCAGTCCACAGAGGAAGACAATGTAACCAGTCCTGATGAGACCTGATATGCTAGGATCAGATGGAAGGGGAGGAAGACGTCCCCTATCAGTGGACTAGGGGAGGGGAATAGGGAAAGAAGAGGGAGGGAGGGAGGGTGGGATTGGGAGGAGATGAGGGAGGGGGCCACAACTGGGATACAAATTGAATAAATTGTAATAAATGATAATAAAAAGAGGTTTTTGTTTGTTTGTTTTTTAAGAATAGGGTACAGACCAAAATAGGAAATTCTCAAAAGAGAAAGCCCCAAAACATTTAGATTTCAACATCCTTAGCAATCAGGGAAATGCAAATCAAAACTACTTTGATATTTCATCTTCTACTAATCAAAATGGATAAGATCAATAAAGCAGGGAAAAGCTCATCCGGGCAAGGATGTGGAGTGAAGGAAACACTCCTCTATTGTTGGTGGGAGTGCAAATTTGTGCAGTCACCATAGCAATCAATGTGGCAATTCCTCAGCAAGCTGGAAACCTACTTCAGAATCTAGCTATACCCCTCAAAAAACAGCTTCATGCTGCCACAGAGGCACTTCCTTAACCATTGTTGTTCTATTCATAATATCCAAAATCGGAACCAACCTAGATGTCTCTCAGCCAATAAATATAAAAAGAAAATATGGCGCATCTACACAATTGAATATTCCTCAGATGTTAAACAAGTGAAATTTGCAGATGAATGGATAGAACTAGAAAAAAAAATCATCCTCATTTAGGTCACTCAAGCCCAGAAAGGCAATTATAACAAATATGGCATGTATTCATTTTTATGTGGACATTAAGTGTTAACTTAATTATCACCAAGCTACAATTTGTAAAACCACATAGGTTAGGTATAGAATAAGGGACTGGGAAGGGACAGATAGATCTTCCTAGGAAAGGGACATAGAATACATAATTATGAATGATTCAGGGTTAGGGCATGGGCTGGAATGGGAGGATCAAGTGGGGAAGGGAAGGGAAGAGGGGCATAAGGGAGAAAGAGCTAAAATTAAGAGCCACTTGAGGGTTAGTATGTAAACTTAATACAGTAAAACTATATGTGTATGGGTATATGTATATATACTTATATAAATATAAGTATTATTTATATTCATATTTTGGTACAGGAAGCTACATTTGGTGATGATGAATTATTAGTTAGGCCTCTTTTATTCATATATGTATATATATGAATATGAAGTTAAGCTAAATAATGAGGAAGACAGAGCCCTAATACCAAAAATGGGTTACATCTAATTGAATTGTTGGCCCATGGGAAACTCCCAGACGACCCAGTATATTACCAACACTATAGAGTGCTCTCTACAAATTGACTGCAAGGCCCCATTGATGAAGACAACACCTACACAACTGATTGAACACAGAGAAGTTGATCTGGTGTCTACCTAAAGCCTTCACCCCTATGCTCTAGTACCTTTGTTACAAGAAGGCATTCTGCATGCTACCAAAGGAGGAACACAAACATCAAAGCAGCCACAAACCCTTGGATAAGACAATGGCATTCTCCTTGCAAGATATGCTAGTGCAATGGTGAAACAGAGCTTATGGGAGTAAGCAACCGCTATCTGATTTAACTCAAGGCTCATTCTACAAAATAGAATCCATACATGACACTTCATGGGACACCAGTAACCTCAGACCAGATAGGCCAGGAACTGAGGATAAGACTGAATACTATTGTTTTTTAATCCTAATGACATTCTGCTATACTCGTAGGTCAGTGCCTTGCTCAGCCATCACCAGAGAAGCTTCCTCCTGCAACAGATGGGTTCAAATACACAGACCCACACCCAGACAATATGCAGAGTGAGAGACTTTGGCACACTCAGTCCTAAAAGAGATGTCTCCATAAAATCTCCCTTAAAACACAAGAGCTCAGGCATCCCTGTGAAAGAAGAGGTATAAAGAGTGTAAGAGCCAGAGGAAATGGAAAATGTCAAGGAAGGAAGGCCCTCTGAATAAACAGAATTGATGCACATATGAACTTATAGAAACTGAGGCAGCATGCAGAGGGTCTACACAGGTCTGTAACAGATGGGGTGCTACAGCTAAAAGGAGAAAAGGACGCACACTCCCATCCTTAAGCTAGAAGCTATCTGCAGTTGCTAACAACTTGCACATGAAATTTAGTGGGGGGTTTCCCTGGAGAAGCAATCTACTCTTCAAGGTATGCTGCCTGTGCAGCAGTACATAACCAAAAGAAAGTGAAATCAGTGGCATCTTTGGAAGGTCCTTGTCTCATGATGCCTTGCCAGGTTAAGACTCTTCCTTTCTTGTGCCAAACGTATGGCATCATGATAGTACTGTTTATTAGCCCTATAATTATTATGGCGGTATTATTTAAACCACTATCACAATCAATAAGACACCTGTTAGATTTTATAATCTAACACTTGCCTTGTTTCACCTTGGGCTGGACAGATAATTCCATATCTCTCAGCCCACATACCATTCTATCTGCTTTAATCATTCCTAATTGGGCAGTCCCCCATCCATAATTCCATAAATACTTGCTTATCCTTCATCTGGATCAGGCCATTCTTGGAATCCTTCCTCCCGACCCACGTGGCACCTTTTCCACGGTAACCCACTGTGGCTTCCTCCTGTCTTCTCTATTTCTGTTCTCCCTTTCCCAATATCCTCTCTATCCCCAAAAGCCCACGAACCTTGGCTACACCTCCCCATCAACCTTGCCCAAGTATATAGGCATTTTATTGGTTAAACAGAGAGGCAAGTTTAAAGTGTCATTTGGAGTAGGTGAGTGTCTGCTTGTAGCAAGCAGGTTTCAGGGGGAAGCAATTAACATAGAATAGATAGCACCAGACCAACACCCAACACTTTCTTTAATCAAATTTTGTTTTATTTTTATTTTCTTCTCTTTTTCCCCCCTGCATGTCCTTTGCACATATGACTTCTAGTTAAGTGTTTTTATGGGATTCCTGAGTCTACAAAAAAAAGTTGGGCTTTCCAACTGTCTGTTTCTTGTGTCTTTTTTAGGTATCTTTTATTTCTGTTTGTTTGTTTTGTCCTTTTCCAGTGTTTTAGTTTCATTTTATTTTATTATTATTCCTTAGAAGCCTGTTTTCTTTCTAATAAGAGACAGGAAGAGGGTAGATCAGGAGGAAAGATGAGAGGTAGTGGGAGTAGAGGGAGGGGAAATTGTAATCAGAAAATAATGTGCTGGGCGGGAATCTATTTTACTACTCAGCAATTAAAAACAAAGAAATCATGAAATTTACAGGCAAATTGTGGGATCTAGAAAAGATCATCCTGAGTGAGGTATCCTAGAAGCAAAAAGACACACATGGTATATACTCAACTATAAGTGGATATTAGACATATAATACAAGATAATCATACTAAAATATGAACACCTAAAGAAGCTAAGCAAGAAGGAGGACCCTGGGTAAGATGCTCAATCCACATTCAGAAAGACAAAGGGGATGGACATCAGAAAAGGGAAAAAAAAAAAAACAGGAAACAGGACAGGGGCGTAACACAGAGGGCCTCTGAAAGACTCCACCCAGCAGTGTATCAAAGCAGATGCTGAGACTCATACTCAAACTTTGGGCAGGGTGCAGGGAATCTTATGAAAGAAGGGAGAGATAGTAAGACCTGGACTGGACAGGAGCTCCACAAGGAGAGCAACAAAACCAAAACATCTGGGCCCAGGGGTCTTTTCTGAAAATGATACTCCAAACCAAGGACCATGCACGGAGATAACCTAGAACCCTTGCACAGATGTAGCCCATGGCAGCTCAGTCTCCAAGTGGGTACACTAGTAAGGGGAACAAGGATTGTCTCTGACATGAACTTAGTGGCCTGCTCTTTGATCACCTACCCCCTGATGGAGGAACATCCTTACCAGGCCACAGAGGAAGACAATACAGCCAGTCCTGATGAGACCTGATAGGCTAGGGTCAGAGGAAAAGGGAGGAGGACCTCCCTTATCAGTGGACTGGGGAAGGGGCATGGGAGGAGATGAGGAAGCAAAGGTAGGATAAGGAGGAAATGATGGAGGGGGCTACATCTGGGATACAAAATAAATAAACTGTAATTAATATAAAAAATTAAAATTAAAAATCTATTTTCATTAAAAGTAAAAAATAATAAAATAAAATAATAAATAAAAAATAGTGAGTGAAGTTTATCATACAAGTTACAATAAAATATTTAGAAAAATATTTGAGCATATCTCTTCCTCATGGATACAAAAGCTATGAATGAAAAAAGAAATGTAAAGAAGGAAATTATGGATGACAAGTGAGGCTTTACATAGTTACAAAGTGTGCGCACTTCGAAATGCGAAGAAATAACTTGACCCTGAAAATGAGCTCACTATTTTAAAAGGGCTGTCAGATGATATCAAGCAATTTTTCCTAAAAACACATTTAAAGAAGTTATTTCAAAATTCACGTCTAAAATAATTCTTACCTTGCTTGAGAATTTTGGGGCTCAAGTTTTATCAGAGATGTAAAATCACTTGTGGCTCCAGACCAGTTTTCATTTTCAAAGTAGAACATTGCACGTTTCATTAATGCATCTGTTCTTTTGGGATCATGATGAATACACTGGAAGGGTGTAAGGATGGAAACATATCATACAGTGAGAGAAAACTCAAGACAAATTCAAATTGCATAAAAGAAACCCACTTTCATGCTAAAATTTTCAGGTTTGTGTTTAAAGATATTAGGAAATTTACCCATCATCAAATTCTTTTTTTAATTTTTATTTTTTTCTTCACAATTAATTCATTATATTTCCCGATTGAAGTCCCCTCCTTCAACTCCCCTATTCCCACCCTCCCTCTGCCTTCCCCTCATCTGCTTCCCCTAGTCCAGTGAAAAAGGGAGTTCTCCATTATTGCCATTTGCCCTTAGCTTGTTAAGTCTCATCAGGACTGCCTGGATCCTCTTCCTCTGTGGCCCGGCAAGGCTGCACCATCAGGGGTGAGTGATCAGAGAGCAGTCAGCTGAGCTCATGATAGAGGCAGCCCCTGCTCCCCTCACTCAGCGATCCACATGGAGAGAGATTATTATCCAAAGGAGAAGCAAACAGTAAATACAAACAGCCAAAGCTTTTGGCCGCTGAAACTTTCACTGATTAACAAAAAAAAAGACCATGAGCCCTCATCACTACACAAGGAACTACAGGCAATTAAAAAATTCTGACATTGGGTAAAAAAACAGTCTTCCCCAGGGAAGAGCAACTAGTTGGTTATCCAATATCAGATGGTCACCCCTGAAAACATACATATGAATAACATTACACAGGATAAACAAGCTAGAATTTTGTATATACATACATGTATATATATATATATATATATATATATATATATATATATATATTCATATATGAGTGTGTGCATATAACAATCCATGAAAAAAGAAATTTTAAAAAGAGCAAGTAGGTATATTTGGGAGGGTTGAGAAGGAAGAAATGAAAGGGGAAAATGATGTAATTATATTATAATTTCAAAAATAAAAGAACTGTAGGGAAGCGCTGCAGTGTCTCACATCATTCAGTCCTAACAGTGGCTGAAAGAGCTGAGCTGATGAGTAGCATAGGTTACCGCTTAATCCAGCCCCTAACACAAGGAAGAAGAAATTAATTGGTGGTGATGTCCCTCGTCCTTACACAATGACATACAGAGCAGCAGAGGGCAGGGTCATGCATGTCTTCAGCTGGGAAGTTGCTTGCTGGTTGATACTAGGAAAAAACTGCAGCACAGAGCAGGTCCTTAAGGATGTTTAAAGAAGAAAGAAATGAGCTAAGTCACTTGAGAATTGCTTGACTTCAAAATACTATATTCATCTGTTTTTAAACTACTGTAGACAGACACAAGATGTGAGAAGAGTCAAAAATAACTATGGAGACAACCTAGAACCCCTGCACAGATGTAGCCTATGGCAGTTCAGTATCCAAGTGGGCATCCTAGTAAGGGGACAGGGACTGTCTCTGACATGAACTCAGTAGCCTGCTCTTTGATCACCTCTCCCTGAGGGGGAAGCAGCCTTGCCAGGCCACAGAGAAAGACAATGCAGCCAGTCCTGATGAGACCTGATAGGGTAGGGTCAGATGGAAGGGAAGGAGGACCTCCCCTCTCAGTACACTGGGGGAGGGGGATGGGAGGAGAAGAGGGAGGGAGAGCTGAGGAGATGTGGGAAGAGGCTACAGCTGGGATACAAAGTGAATAAACTATAATAAATAAAAAATAATTACTATTTTTTAAAATGTTTTCCTTTAATCTTGTGATTATTATAAAATCCTATCATTTCTCCCTTCACTGATGTTTTTTCCAAGCCCTCCCATATACCACTCTTTGGTCTTTCAAATGAATGACCTTTTTCATTAATTGTTACATGTACATATGTATGTGTATATACATATGTATTCCTAAATTAAACCTACTCAGTATGCATTATCTTACATATTCAAAAGAGCTTTTTGCTTACTTCTACGTCTTAAGTTATAAGACCAATAAAACTTTCCTTACACAGAAGAATATCAAACTAAACCATGAAGGAAACTTGGCAATTGGGAACATGTAAATTGAAAATTTTTAAGTAATTTATTCTTTTTCTCAATGTACTTGGAACTAAGATTTAAACTTAAAAGTCAATAGTCAGAAATGCATGTTTTGCTGCAGCCAGGGGAAATGTGTTGCCTTGGTGGCAGCCTCAAAGTGTGGTTCAGTCAAAACCTCACTTCCTTGTGACGATCCTGATATCTACAAACAAATACAGATACCTCCTCTCACCTTCCTTCCTACATGGCACCATCATAATTTTATATCTCATGGGTGTGTTCATATTTTTCTTTAAATATCTTTTCTATAAGATATCCATGATCCAGAAACATTTTTATGCCATTCACTCTTTATCTAATACAGCATGCAGTGTCTCCCTCAACAAATATTTATGAATGAATGAGTAAATGAATCTGGCATCACAGCTTCTTCAAGAGCCACAGGGTTCCCTGAAGAGAGTGTCAGCTGTTCAAAGGTTTAATAAAGGGGGAAAGCAAGTTCTTCTGTTATCTATAGAGAACAAGAAAATCTCAAAGGCCTCTTAGTCCAAAGAGAGAGAACTGGAAAAGTTGTGAGTCCTTTGCGGTTGCCTCAAATGTTTCACATCTGCCTTTTGACTTCCATTCACTCAATAATGTCTCTCAGTCAAGAAACTGGTGTTAACAGCATTCCAGCAATGGAAGTTCTAGTTCCTAACTTATAATTAGTTTATTATATAACACCTGTGATGACTCTTAAAAACTTTACAAGGCCATGAACAAGTAGGCTTCATCCCAGGCATGCAAGGTGCTTCAATATAAGGAAATCCATCAATGTAATCCACCATATAAACAAACTGAAGGAGAAAAACCACATGATCATCTCCTTAGATGCTGAAAAAGCATTTGACAAAATCCAACAGCCATTCATGTTTAAAGTCTTGGAGAGATCAAGGGTACAAGGCACATACCTAAACATAGTAAAGACAATATAAAGCAAGCCTATAGCTAACATCAAACTAAACATAAAGAAACTTAAATCAATCCCACTGAAATCAGGGACAAGGCAAGGCTGCCCACTCTCTCCATCTCTCTTCAACATAGTACTTGAAGTCCTAGCCAGAGCAATAAGACAACTAAAGGAGATCAAGGGGATACAAAATGGAAAGGAAGAAGTCAAAGTATCACTATTTGCAGATGGTACAATTGAGTGACCTCAAAAATTCAACCACAGAACTCCTTCAGCTGATAAACACCTTTAGCAAAGTGGCTGAATACAAAATAAAGTAAAAAAAAAACAAAAATCAGAAACCCTCCTGTATACTATAGACAAAAGGGCCAAGAAAGAAATTAGGGAAACAACACACTTCACAATAGCCACTCACATAAAGTACCTTGGTGTGACTCTAAACAAGCAAGTGAAAGACCTGTTCACAAAAAGAAAAAAAAAAAAACTTCAAGTCTCTGATGAAAAAAAAAAAATGAAGAAGATATCAGAAGATGGAAAGATCTTCCATGCTCATGGATTGGTAGGATTAACATTGTGAAAATGGCCATCCTGCCAAAAGCAATCTACAGATTCAATGCAATTCCCATCAAAATACTAAAACAATTGTTTACAGAACTTGAAAGAAAAATTATCAACTTCATATGAAAAAAAAAAAAAAACAACCCAGAATTGCCAAAACGATCCTGTACAGCAGGTCATCTGGAGGTATCTCCATCCCTGATCTCAAGCTGTGCTACAGAGCAACAGTAATAAAAACTGCATGGCACTGGCAAAGAAACAGAATGGAGGCTCAATGGAATCAAATAGAAGACCCAGAAATAAGCACACATACCCACAGATACTTGATTATTGACAAAGATGCTAAAACCATACAATGGAAAAAAGAGTGCATCTTCAACAAATGGTGCTGGTCTAACTGGATGTCTACATGTAGGAAAATGCAAATAGGTCCATATTTATCACACTACACAAAACTAAAGTACAAGTGGACCAAAGACCTCTACATAAAACCAGATACACTAAATTAGTTAGAAGAAAAATTGGGAAAGAGCCTAGAACTCATTGGCACAGGAGACAACTTCCTGAACAGAACACCAACAGCACAGGCTCTAAGAGCAACAATCAAAAAATGGGACCTCATGAAACCGAAACTCTTCTGTAAACAAAGGACACTGTCATCAGAACAAAATGACAGCCTACAGACTGGGAAAGAATCTTCAGCAACCCTATATCTAACAGAAGTCTAATATCCAGAATATATAAAGAACTAAAGAAGTTAAAAGGCAACAAATCAAGTAATCCAATTAAAAAAAAATGGAGTACAGAGATAAACAGAGAATTCTCTGTAGAGAAATATAGAATGGCAGATAAACACTTAAAAAAATGTTCAACATCCTTAGTCATCAGGGAAATTAAAGTCAAAACAACCCTGAGATTTCACCGTACACCCATCAGAACGGCTAAGATAAAAAAAAAAAAAAGTCAAGTGACAACACATGCTAGAGAGAATGTGGAGAAAGGGGAACCATCCTCCATTGCTGGTGGGAATGTAAACTTGTACAAGCACTTTGGAAATCAATATGGCGCTTTCTCAGACAATTAGGATTAGCGCTTCCTCAAGATCCAGCTATACCACTCCTAGGCATATATCCAAAAGATTCTCAAGTACACAAGGACATTTGTTCAACCATGTTCATAGCAGCTTTGTTAGTAATAGCTAGAACCAGGAAACAACCCAGATGTCCCTTAATGGACGAATGGATACAGAAATTGAGGTACATTTACACAATGGAATACTACTCAGCAATTAAAAACAAAGAAATCATGAAATTTGCAGGCAAATGGTGGGATCTAGAAAATATCATCCTGAGTGTGGTATCCCAGAAGCAGAAAGACACACATGACATATACTCACTTATAAGTGGATATTAGACATATAGGATAATCATACTAAAATCTGAACACCTAAAGAAGCTCAGCAAGAAGGAGGACCCTGGGTAAAATGATCAATCCTCACTCAGAAAGACAAATGGGATAGACATTGGAAGAAGAAGAAGAAAACAGGAAACAGGACAGGAGCCTACCACAGAGGGCCTCTGAAAGTTTCTACCCGCAGGGTATCAAAGCAGATGCTGAGACTCACACCCAAACTTTGGGCAAAGTGCAAGCAATCTTATGAAAGAAGGGAGAGATAGTAAGACCTGGAGAGGACAGGAGCTCCACAAGGAGAGCAACAAAACCAAAAATTCTGGGTCTTTTCTGAGAATGATACTCTAACCTAGACAACCTAGAACCCCTGCTCAGATGTAGCCCATGGCAGTTAGGTATCCAAGTGGGTACCCTAGTAAGGGGAACAGGAGCTGTCTCTGACATGAACTCAGTGGCTAGCTATTTGATCACTTCCTTCTGAGGAGGGAGCAGCCTTACCAGGACACAGAGGAGGACAATGCAGCCAGTCCTGATGAGACCTGATAAGCTAGGGTCAGATGGAAGGGGAGGAAGACCTCCCATATCAGTGGATTTGGTTTCAGTGAAGGGGTATGGGAGGAAATGAGGGCAGGAACATGCCATTGGGAGGGAATGAGGAAGGAGGCTACAGTTGGGATATGAAGTTAATAAACTGTAATTAATTTAAAAATAAAAAATTAATTTAAAAAAAACTTTACAAGGAAGCTGTAGAGATGGCTCAGTGGTTTTGGCCAGTTTGTTGCTCTTGTAGGAGACCTGGAATTTGGTTCCCAGCACCCATGTGCTGTCTCATGACCATCTGTAACTCCAGTTCCAGGGACCTGGATGGTCATCTGACCTCTGCAGGTACCAGACATGTACATGGTGTTCATGCTTACATGCAGGCCAAACCTCAAATAAACAAATAAACCTAAAAAGAATGTCTCCAAAACAAAATCTGTAAAGAGAGTACTGTAAAGAGAGTGTCATAAAGCTTACTTTTGAGAAGTCATCCATGGCCAGCACTTTGTTTGTCTTCTCATACAATTCTCCCCTCCTGAAATAGAGGTCAGCGTCTGTGGGCCTGCACTTAATGGCCTGGCTATAATTCAGAATTGCCAATGTAAAGTCCTTCCTTTCTTTGAAAATCTCTGCCTTTGACAAGTATGCCTCTAAAGAGGAAAGATAAAACTACACTTTACAGTCTATTCATTAACTGTGAAATTTTAAATCAGTAATCCCTACCTAAAAATGAAGTCTTAGAATGATTTTCATTCGTATAGTTTGTTTAGTCTTTCTTAAGTTCAACACCATATTTTTTCTCAAAGACTGAATATGCATCTGCAATTTCAAGTAGTCCTACTCTGAACTAGCAAAGCTACCACTCATCTATGAATCTGTTTTAAATGTTTCAGCCTTAACAATGCAGTATAAAGTTAAGTTGAGAAAGATCAGAAATCGGTTGGGGGCCATCTCTGGGGTTCTAGGAGAATGACCTTAGCTGAGACTCTTAGCAGTGGGAGATATGGGATACAAAAGATATGCACCAATAATTAACAGCAGGGGATACAGAACCTGAAATAGCCACATTCTGTAGGCAGGGGGACTCCCAGTGGAGGGAGGGGGGACACTAACCCACCCACAAAACCTTCAACCCAAAATTCGTCTTACCTGCAAGAAGTGCAGGGATAAAGATTGCACATAAGTTGAGGCAATGACAAACCAACGACCGGCCCAACTTGAGACCCACCCCACAGGAGATATAGAAATATAGAATGGCAGAGAAACTCTTAAAAAAATGTTCAGCACCCTTAGTCATCAGGGAAATTCAAGTCAAAACAACCCTGAGATTTCACCGTACACCCATCAGAACGGCTAAGATAAAAAAAAAAAAAAAAAAGTCAAGTGACAACACATGCTAGAGAGAATGTGGAGAAAGGGGAACCATCCTCCATTGCTGGTGGGAATGTAAACTTGTACAAGCACTTTGGAAATCAACCTCTAACACTATCAATGATACTCTGCTATGGTTGCCGATAGGAACCTAGCATAACTGTCTTCTGAGAAGCTTCATCCAGCAGCTGGTGGAAACAGATGTAGGGACCCACAGCCAAACAGTAAAAAGAGCTCAGGGAGTTTTGTGGAAGAACAGGAAGAAGGATTGAGGGAGCCAAAGGGGTCAAGGTCACCACTAGAAGACCTACAGAGTAAAGTAACCTGGTTCCATGGGGACTCACAGAGACTGAACCACCAACCAAAGAGTATGCATTGGCTAGACCTAGGCCCCCTACACTTATGTCACAAATGTGCAGCTTGGTTATCATATGAGTCCCCTAACAATTGGAGAGTGGGTGGGGTGGGAGGGCAGCATTTCTGACTCTGTGGCCTGCCTTTGGACCCCCTTTACCTAGCTGGGCTGCCTTGTCTCAGTGGGAGAGGGTAAGCTTAGCCATGCTGTGATGTGATGTGCCAGGGTGGGTTGGTACCCATGGGGGCGGGAAGAGGTTGTACCCTTTCCTGAGAAGAAGGGGAAGAGAAAGGGGGGAGGGAGGCTTAAGAGTGGGACTGGTAGGAGAGGCAGGAAGGGGCTGTGTCCAGGCTGTAAAGTGATTAAATAAATAAATGGAAGAAAATAGTTAAGTTTGAATGACACAAAAGTATGTGGACTTTTAGCACAGAGAGACCAACACAGAACAGAAATCAGTCATCTTCTGCTGTAATGTGTCGATCTGTGAGTGTTGGGGATTCCAAGATGAGGGTGACATTTCCACATTTCTAAAAAGTTCTGTGTCTAGAAGTTCAGGTAGTTAGAAAATGACACATATGGCAAAGGTATAGATTTCATATACCAAGAGGCCTTCACTGTACCATAACTCTCACTCTGAAATTTGTGGTCAAGAGAAGACTTACAAGTCACCTCCCATCTATAATTTTGAATTCATATTCTCCTTGTGAGATAAGTGAAAGCAATTGTGCTGAAAAAGGTCTCTAGAGCATAAATTCAAATACAATGAGTTATTTGAAAACAATATCAAGTTACATGAAGTCTTCATTTGTAACATTAAGAAAATTATTTTTTAAAAGCTAAAGGCTCCACAAGGAGAGCAACAGAACCAGAAAATCTGAACACAGGGGTCTTTCCAGAGACTCATATTCCAACCAAGTACCATGCATGGAGATAACCTAGAACCCCTGCACAGATGTAGCCCATGGCAGTTTAGTGTCCAAGTCAGTTACATAGTAATGGGAGGAGGGACTGCCTCTGACATATCTGATTGGCCTGCTCTTTGATCACCTCCCCCTGAGGGGAGAGCAGCCTTACCAGGCCACAGAAGATGACAATGCAGCCACTCCTGATGAGATCTGATAGACTAGGATCAGAAGGAAGGAGATGAGGACCTCCCCTATCAGTGGACTTGGGGAGGGGCATGTGTGAAGAAGGGGGAGGGAAGGCGGGATTAGGAGGGGATGAGGGAGGGGTTTATAGGGGCATACAAAGTGAATAAAGTGTAATTAATAAAAGTTTTAAAAAAAGAAAGCTGAAGGCATTCACATCATTTTTGCATTTTAACATCTATTTATCAGTATATGTCTATCTGTTACAATGACAAAAGCTGAGATAAAGAAACAGGTGATATAACCATCTCCAGACGCAACCTACCTGCATGGTTTTTATTGTATTTATGTATAAAATTCAAGTCATCCAAAGCATCATTAAATTTGTCTTGGAAAAGATAAATGAAATGTCTATGCCAATAGGCATTTAGAAACATTGGCTCCACAAATATGGTCTGAAAAATACATGTATAAAGGCAGGTGAGTTCATTTCCAAAAAGAAGAAACACTATTAAATGAGTTTCTCAAACATCATCGATACCAATGACTTCACATGCATGTACATAAAATAAAACCTCCCAATCCAAAAAACAAAAGCCAAGGGTTTCCAGTAAGTATATTCCACAATCCCATAAACTGTTTTACAATCATTTGCTAGTCAACATCACAACAAAAAAATACTGTATAAATAAAAGCAATGTGAATAGTGACCTGCGTTATTGTTATTTTAAAAACTTACTTCCTGTAGGTCATTCATAGCACTTTGCAGCTTTCCCAGTTTTCGATAAATAGCTCCACGCCTACAGTATGCAAACACAGGAGTTTGTTTCTCGTTGCCTATTTCTTGAGTCAACCTCTCCACTTCAGCTTCGTAATACGCAATCAGATCTTCTGGAAGGTTGCACTTTATATTGTCACTTAATTCCAGCTTTGGGATCTCTGTCACTATTTCTGGAACATCTTTTTGAACAGGCAAAACTGGCGCGTGTGCTTTCTGAGGTTTGTCTTTGGCAAATGTCTCAATAACCCATGCCAGAGGATTAGTGTTTTTTGGTATTCCTCCTTTTCTTTGAACAAAATTATCAAAATTTAATTGCGTGGGTACACTGGGGCACCTTATTTGACGTTCATATAATGGAACTTTAAGGAAGTGTTTTTTCTGTCCAGGAAGTATTCCATGAGATGCTGATCTGGTTTCAAAAAGAATGATTTTTTTAATTACAAAGCACAATTACATTTCTGATCAATGATTCAAAATCAACCACACACAAAAATTACTATTTTTCTATTAACAAAAATTGCTAATTTTATGCAACCCGAGTTCACATTTTCAATCATTAAAATTGTACCACACTATAAAGAATCTCTGTACACTAAATGGAAATGTATTTTTTATGCAACAGCCTCTCTAAAGTGCTGTAATGATGACAACAGTGCTCCTCTCTGATCTAAGTCACAACCTCACCCTCTACCAGAATGATGGCAGTGCTTATGAGGTAAGCAGGAAGAGATACAGGAAACGCTTCTTTCAAAGGCTACCAAGGGTAAGAACTTGAAGTTTAGTTTTTCCATAAACTACTGCACTTTATAATTCGGGTGCTCGCAAACGATGCAGCTATAGGTTCCACATCAAATTCTCATTGGCAATAGAGCTTTCATTTGGTAGCATTTACTATCTGTATGGCAGCATGGTAGCTATGGAAGACAGGATAAGGGCCTCTTTCTGAAAGCTTGAAAAGGAAGTTTTAGCCCTATCATCTTTTATTTACTGGATTTATATCGTAAGAAAGGGCTAAAGTAGGAGAAGGCTCCCACTCTTTTATTCCTTTCTTATAATGTCCACTCCATGTTCTAGCATAAGCCTTTTTCATCTGTTTTCCCTGGAATGCAGCATCCTGGCTAGTTTTACATCAATTTGACAAGAGCTAAAGCCATCTTAGAGTAAGGAAAACCTCACTTGAGAAAGCACCTCCAAGAGATAGGGCTGGCTAGAGGCATGGCTGCAGGGCACTTTCTTAATTACTGATTGGTGTGGGAAGGCTCGGTCTATTGCAGGGAGTGTCATCCTGGACTGGTGGTCCTGGGTTCTATAAGAAAGCAGGTTAGGCAGGAAGCCACGGGAGCAAGCCAGTGAGCAGCACCCTGCATGGCCTCTGCATCAGCTGCTGCCTCCAGGTTCCTGCCTGTTTGAGTTCCTGTCCTGACTTCTTTCAGTGATCAACTACAGTGTGGAAGAGTAACAAATTTTCTCTCCAACTTGCTCTTGGTGGTTTATCCCCCAAATAAAACCCTAGCTCAGACATACAGTAACTTTAACTTTACACATCTACTCTTGCCCTTTGTTTAATCTATCTTCCATGTGCCATCTGGGTAACATTTTCACAAATGTGTGTCAGATTATGTTGCTCTTCTGAAAGGCTCGCTAGTGTCTAGAACATAAGGTTTTACCAAGGCTGTCAAGATGTAGCGGAAGTGTCAGCACAGACCACTGAGATTCCCCATCTCTTACTCCTTCTCCATTCTCCAGCCATATCCCCTGAGAAAGCCGCCAAGGCAGTGCACTTTTTAGACCACTCACTACCTGGCTCCTCTATTCACATTTCTAATTTCTGTGACAGCTGTTTTGTTTGTGCTTTCATGTTTCTCTACTTCCTGACTTTGTCTCTGGCCTGGGAATCTATGCAGACTACATCCACAGGATCCCTTGTTCTCTGTTTTCTCTCAGAAACCTCAATAAAAGAACATAGGAAAATAAAGTCAAGATATCCATACCCGAAGATCCTTGAGGTAGGGTGCTTCTAACTGGATATAGCCCTTGAAAAAAGATCAGGACTTTAAGACTGTCTAACTGTTCACCTATGGAGGCAAGGAATTGACCGCCCTGTAGTCATTTTCCAATCCTGGAACAGTGAGTGACTCAGAGAAAATTTAGTGTAGACAGTTACTATAAGTTATTGTGAATGTCATTTAACCAGGTGTTGATGACGATGACCACCTTAGGTCTGATGTAGTAAAGCAATGGGCACCCCTCCCAGCATATGATTTGCAGTTGTTGATCTGGCTTTGTTTTTCCAAGGCTGTGATCTGACGCATCGAGGCTTACATTTACAGAGTACCTTACGTTCCAGTAGTTATCTACCTTTTCTGACCTGATCACCATCTCACCTGTCCTACAATGTCACTGTGATCTGAAGTTAAACTGATAGGCACTCCTACTAGACCTTTGTTCAAGTCTCATCATGCCCTGTTCCTTCCATAGTCTTAACCACCTGGGCAACCTGCATATTTTCAATTGCTCCAGTAAAATTCTGTGGGAGTATCCTTAATTTCTTTCTTTCTCATATCTTACAGGTAGTCTATGAGGAAATACTGTTGGCAGTACCCCCAACATCTTTCTAGAAAGTGGCCATTTTATAGCATCTGGATTGCTATCACTTCAGACCATGCAGCCATTTCTCACATAGATTGTTCAATAATTTTCTTATGGGTCTCTGTGCTTCCACTACGATTTTGTAATTCATACCACTACCATGGTGAGTTTGCTGGAAAATGTTTGATCATTGCAACATACTGCTCTCCACACTTTTTTTAATTTAATTTAATTTTTTTATTATTAGTTACATTTTATTAACTCTGTATCCCAGCTGTATCCCGCTCCCTCATTCCCTCCCAATCCCACGCTCACCTCCTCCCTCATCTCCTCCCTGCCCCTTTCCAAGTCCACTGATAGGGGGGACCTCCTCCCCTTTCATCTGACCCTGTTTTATCAGCTATCTTCGGGACTGGCTGCAAAGTCCCTCTGTGGCCTAGCAGGGCTGCTCCTCCCTTGGGGGGGGGGGGGTTGTTCTTCACTCTTGAGGTCTCCTTTTAATGACTCAAAACACTTATCACAGCTTACAGATATCTCTGTCCCCTTCTCGAGTTCACAATGACTCACAAGTCTACATTTTCCTTTTTCAATTTGTGTGTATGGTATTTGCATGTACACACACAACTATGTGCGGGTGCGAGTATCCATAGATGCATGTGTAGGTGCCAGACGAGGGTGTTGTGTGTCACCCACTCTCGCTCTACACTCTCCTCCTGAGTCACAGTAGCTCAGTGAGCCTGAAGCTCTATTTGAGCTAGCTAGTAGGACACTGAGACCCACCTGTCTCTACCTTTCCCCTCCCCCGATGCTGGGGTTACAGGCACATGCAGCCATGCCCAGCATTTTCATGTGGGTGCTGGGAATTTGATTATAAAAGCATTCTTACCCACCCAAGACATCTGCAGAGTTTCAACCTGTGGGCAGTCTTATGAGTAATTTCACACTCATTACTTACTATGGTCAATACTGCAATACTGGATATTATCCCCAAATACTTCCTTGACCTTACTTCCTTACCAGTCTCTTGTGTTTTAGAAACTGTTCTACGTGCTGTCCAAAAACAGTATGCATATACTCCAACTCAAGGATTTTGCACTTTCTTTTCCCTCTTCTTCAGTGGTTAACATGCAATTCCTCCACAGCATTCCACACCAAGTCACAAACACATCTGAGCTCTCTGCCTAAAACATAAGCTCCTGCTACCATGCCATATTCTCTTAATAATACTAACCTCTCCCTTGTTACCACTAGCTAATCTCTCCACCAGCACATTCCCTCTAGAATATAAACTATAAGAGGGCAGGGGATTGGTTATTATTCTTCACTGTTCTCATTTTACTTTCCAATCCAGCTTAGTATCTGCTGTATAGAAGGTGCACAATAAATTTACTCTGAAGAAATGAACAGCTGAGTTAAAGTAATAATTTTCTTTACTTTCTGCTCACTTCTTATGTCATCTACAGTACCTTCCAGATTTTTTTATTTTTTATGTACTATTTATTATAATTTATTCACTTTGGTCTTTTACATTTTTTATTTATTTTTTAATTTATTACAATTTATTCACCTTGTATCCCAGCTGTAGCACCCTCCCATGTCCCTTTCCAATCCCAAACTCACTCCCTCTTCTCCCTTGCCTCTCCTCCAGTCCATTGATAGAAGAGGTCCTCCTCCCCTTCCATCTGACCCTAGCCTATCAGGTCTCATCAGGACTGGCTGCATTGTCTTCATCTGTGGCCTGGTAAGGCTGCCCCCCACCTCAGGGGGAGGTAATCAAAGAGAAAGCCACTGACTTCATGTCAGAGGCAGCCCTTGTTCCCCTTACTAGGGTACCCACTTGGAGGTTGAGTTGCCATTGCCTATATCTGTGTAGGGGTTCTGGTTGTTTCCATGCATGGTCCTTGGTTTGGAGTATCAGTCTCAGAAAATACCCCTGGACCCAGATTTTTTGGTTCTGTTGCTCTCCTTGTGGAGCTCCTACTTCCTCTAGGTCTTTCTAACTCTCCCTTCTTTCATAAGATTCCCTGCTATGAGTCTCAGCATCTGCTTCAATACCCTGCTGGGTAGAGTCTTTCAGAGGTCCTCTGTGGTAGGCTCCTGTCCTGTTTCCTGTTTTCTCCCTCTTATGATGTCTATCCCATTTGCTTTTCTGAATGAGGATTGAGCATCTTACCCAGGGTCCTCCTTCTTGCTTAGTTTCTTTAGGTGTACAGATTTTAATATGGTTATCCTATATTACACGTCTAATATACACTTATGAGTGAGTATATACCATGTGTGTCTTTCGGTTTCTGAGATACCTCACTCAAGATGATCTTTTCTACTTGTTACCATTTGCCTGCAAATTTCATGATTTCCTTGTTTTTAATTGCTGAGTAGTATTCCATTGTATAAATGTACCGCAGTTTCTGTATCTATTCCTCAGTTGAGGGACATCTGGGTTGTTTCCAGCTTCTGGCTATTATGAATAAAGCTGTTACAAAGATGGCTGAGCAAATATCTTTGTTGTGTACTTGAGCATCTTTTGGATATATGCTTAGGAGTGGTATAGCTGGATCTTGAGGAAGCACTATTCCTAATTGTCTAAGAAAGCACCAGATTGATTTCCAAAGTGTTTGTACAAGTTTACATCCCCACCAGCAATGGAGGATGGTTCCCCATTCTCCAAAACCTCTCCAGCATGTGTTGTCACTTGAGTTTTTTATCTTAGCCATTCCAATGGGTGTAAGGTGAAATCTCAGGGTCGTTTTGATTTACATTTCCCTGATGACTAAGGATGTTGAACATTTCTTTAAGTGTTTCTCTGCGATTCTGTATTCT